ACTACTACAAAATGAGTCTAATGCAACATTTCATAAGCAACACTTAAAAATTTTGTTGGTTTTGATTCTACACCAACGTTTCCAAAATAAGTGTTGGATTATACTATCTAATATAACACTTATTTTAAAGTGTTGGATTTTTTATTTAAAATACCAACATTTTAGAAAAGTGTTGCAATTATTAAAATTTAAAACCAACACTTGTATAAAAATGTTGTATTCTCAATGAAAAATCCAACACTTAATTAAAAGTGTTGTATTCACATACTTTTATATAAAAACATTTAAAACTAAATTACTAAACTATATTATTAAAGGAGATTAACTATATATTAAATTTGTATACGAATATCATTTATATATTAAATTTATATTAAACATTAGTAATTGCAAAATATATATACATATTAATTATATGATTTAATTGAGTTTCCCTACGTTATTTTTATTTCCCTCCATTTATTTTACTTAATTTGATTTAATTGAGTTTCCCTCCTATAAATTTTATATAACTTAATTTTAATTTTACCTAAACAAGATTCCCTCCATTGAATTTAAGTAAATTTATTTTTTCTTAATTTAATGACCTATACCATATTTTACCCAAATTTCCCAATAGTGGCGCCGATCCTAATTTTTATTCCCTCTTTGTTCAGCAACCGTCATACCCCTAGAGCCTCTATCTAATACTTACGATCATGCAACTACAATTGATCGGCGATTGACAAAGGCGCTCTGTCACTACACCGGTGTCTTTTTCTCCGTGTATTTCCTCCGCCGTTCGTAAGTTTTTCATTCCCTATTCTCATATTCTTGATGTTTCTTTTTTATTTGCTCAGTAGTATAATGTGTATGTGTATTTGCTTAATCTGTCTATTTGCTCTAGTCTTTAATATGAGGTGAATTAGTTGTTATCCTTCGACTCTACTGTGCTTTTTTTTGCATTCTCAGCAACCAGATTGATCAATTCCAATATCTAATGCACAAATACATAGTACTAGTTCACTGAAAGGGAATCGACAGATTGTTACGCTCTATATCTTATACTCACAACTTACGGCACATCAGATTCAATATTAGGTGAATGATTTTGTCATTAAAAAGGATAGACTCTCCGAAAAGGAAATGGTTTCCTAAAACAATGAAAAACCCCCTTCTCACTAACTTCTGCTCTATCTATACTCTTTGCAACAGTAAAAGACTAAAATAACATAAAAGCCCCTAGACATGTAACTTATTCTTTTATTAATATAACATTACAACTAAGTATATATGAATACTTGCAATAAGATCTTTACAATACTACGGTATATATAAATATTGACTTATATTCAAAAAGAATGTAGATGTTTATTTACCATACTTACTGAATTATCTATAAAAAAGGTAAAACATTTCATACTTGACAACTCAAAGCAAAAATTGTTATATATATATATATATATATATATATATATATATATATATATATATATATATATATATATATATATATATAACAAAACGAATGCTTTAAGAAAAATATTATTCAAATATAAGAAAAATCCATGATTATGTTTCATAAACAATAGTCGTACATAATTTGACAATGTTAGCAAAATGTATCATAACAAAATTACTTTACTACCAAAATGTCAACACAATTGTTTCTGCCCATTCTTTTACATCTATTATAGCATGTGCTTGAAAGGGAAAAGTAGAAAAATAGTGAAGTTACTAAAAGATATTTTTTTTGTCAAATATTGTGATAATTACAAAATCTTTATTTTGCATAATAGTTACGTATAATATCTTTGGTTAGACTGTTATAAAGGAAGGACTAATGAATAAAAGAATTTTAAAATGTGGTCATTATTAGAGTAGGAAGACAAACAAACACAATGGATAAAAAGAAAATCACTCTCATTAGTTATCTCGCCTTCTTTCTTATATTTTCTGTCACAAGGAAATTAAATTACTCAAAAGTACAGAACAATGAACAATCAATATTAAATCCAATATCTAGAACCTTTCTTTCACTTCTCATCATTGAAACACAAGTAACCACATAACAAAACAAAGGAAGAGCAATATTGACGCATGGAGAAAGAAACATATATTTTTCCAAGTCTTAACAAGCCATTTTTTTTATAAAGACTATGGTTCCTTGTATCCTCAAGCTTTCCAATCTTATATATATATATATATATATATATATATATATATATATATATATATATATATATATATATATATATTAGTATAAAGAGTATGGGGTTTTGTGCTTTGTAATCGTTTCATTAACTGAAAATTTTGTCCCTGAACAAGATCAAACACATCTATATTAGTATATTATTATATAATAACTTGTTAAATTCCAAAAATAACCTTGAAAGTGGACATCACATGCCCTTTCCCTAATTACCTGTACATAAGCATATCTTACATTTAACTTATTATCTATTTGTACCAACTTTAGGAAATTACAACCATGGGGAATGCTAGAGATTGGATGTATTTACCTAGACGGCTACATGAGTTTGAAATAGGAGTTACCGACTTCCTTAATGCATCATTTTCTAAGGCAGCAAGGGGTGGTCAAATTTTGTGTCCATGCAAGGAGTGTCAAAACCGTTATTGGTTTCGTAGAGATGAAGTATTCGATCATTTAAAAGGAAAAGGATTTGTAGAAAACTATTATGTATGGGTTTTTCATGGAGAAGAATCCTCACAAATAAGATGTAATATCGCTACAGACAATCATGAGGCACATACGCACGATAATTTTGATGAGTTATTGCATGATAGGTTTAGAGACAACATAGAAGAAACTAGTAGGGTACAAGAAGGTTTAAACGAGGATGCTAAAAGGTTTTATAGGCTGGTGGAAGATGGAAAACAAGAGTTATTTCCTGGGTGTAAAAGTTTTTCGAAGTTGTCCTTTATTGTTAGACTTTTTCTTTACAAGACGCTTCATGGGCTTAGTAATGTGGCATTTGAGGATCTTCTACAACTTCTAAAAGAGATGATGCCAGAGGTAAAACTCCCTGCTAATTTTGCTCAAGCTAAAAAGATTATATAGGATTTGGGGCTTGATTACAAAAAGATACCAGCTTGTCCAAATGATTGTATGCTTTATTGGAAAGAGTACGAACATATTGATTCATGCCACATTTGTCATACCTCTAAGTGGAAAGAAATAAAAGAGCAAGAAGGGAGAAAAAAAATATTTTGGAAAGAACTTCAAAGGTTCCAGCTAAGGTGGTATGGCATTTTCCTTTAAAACCTCGCTACAAAGGCTTTTTATGTGCTTAGAGACAGCTAGATATATGACATGGCATGATAAAGAACGTCCCGATGATGGAAATTTACAGCATCCTGCAGATGGGTAAAGCTGGAAGGACTTTGATTCTTTATACCCTCTTTTTGCCAAAGAACCTGGAAATGTAAGGTTGGTGTTATCAAGTGATGGATTTAATCCATTTCGAACAATGAGCATTGCTCATAGCACATGGCCTGTAGTGTTAGTTAATTACAATTTGCCTCCATGGATGTCAATGAAACCAGAATACTTTATGTTATCCTTATTAATTCCTGGACCAGAATCACCTGGTAATAATATTGATGTTTACTTGCAACCTTTGATTGAGGAGCTAAAAGATTTGTGGCTTGATGGGTTGGAGACATATGATAAATGTAAAGATGAGACCTTCAAAATGCATGTTGCCTTAAAATGGACCATCAGTGATTTTCCTAGATATTCAATGTTGTCAGGGTGGAAAACAAAAGGAAAATTTGCATGTCCATGTTGTAATCACGAAACTAGTTCACTGTACTTGAAACATAGTCGAAAGACATGCTATATGGATCATCGTAGATTTTTAGATGCTCAACACCCATGGAGACGTAATAAGAGTGCTTTCAATGGTGAAATTGAGGAGAGACTCTCTCCAAAATGTCTATCAGGTACTGAGGCTTTTGCAGAGTTATCCGATTTTCATAATACTTTTGGAAAGACACAAAAGAAAAAAAATGATAGCACTTGCCCATGGAAGAAAAGGTCAATATTTTTTGAATTGCCATATTGGAAATTTAATAAATGTCGACATAATCTTGATCCGATGCACATAGAAAACAATTTCTTTAGGAACTTAATAGGTACTTTGTTGGATATTATTGGGAAATCAAAGGATCATGCAAAATTCCAAGATGATATAGGTCAAGATATACAAAATGAAGACAATGAACATATGGTTTATGAAAATATTGAAGATTATGCACAACAAAGTGATAACGATGACGATATAGGAGATAGGGATGATGAACTTGTTGAAGAACAAATTGAAAGCATCCCGTCACAACAAGCAACAGGTTAATTTGAGTTATTCTTTTATTTTGGTTGATTAATTATACATATTATAATTTATACATTTGGATTTAGAACTTTCTATTACCAAGAAAAGAGGGCCAACAATGATGCATGGTGTGCAAGTAGGAAATTTCAATGAACGTGAGGCCATTATATGCAATAAATTTGGACAACCCATTGGACCTGTAACTAAGGAGAAGGACATAGTAGGGCAATTTTCGCGGTTTTTGGGTACAATAGCTCGTACTTATAGTTATGCTCCATTAACATATAAAGAATGGCGCAAAGTACCACATAAGGAGAAGATGTGGGAGTTTGTGTTGGTAAGGTTTTTAATAGTTTTATTCATTTTGTTTATGAATCATATATTCTTTTTACTAAAGTATTATATTTTTCAAGGAAAAATACATTGTTCCCGAGAATGCTAAAAAGTGGGTTCTAAGGACAATTGGGGAATGCTGGAGGGGATATAAATGTAGGACCAAGAAAAAACACTTCTATATGCTTAAGGATAACAAAACAAGATGGAAGAATCGACCTAAAAATATTCCAGAAAAGGATTTTCAACAATTGTTGAGCTTATGGAATAATAAAGTTGTGATGGTATTGTTTGCTAAATAGTTTTCTTCCTAGTTTTTGTTCATATTGAAGTGTTGTTTTGTGGTGTAGAAGCGTTGTTTGATCACCAAGGATGTACGCATGTCTCAAAAGAATATGCACACAGCCGGACCAAAAAGTTTTGCTAGAATTCATGAGGAAATGGTATAGCGTCTCTTTACTACCCTTATATTTTGCAGGAGATGCAAATTTACAAAAATGGTCATCATTAGTTTATGTTAAGTCCTTAATTTCAACTTTGATAGTATTTTTTTTTCTTTTACATAATTTTATAGATGAATGATGACCCTAACAAGGAACCACCTACCTTAGCCCAAATGTTTGAGCGCACACGCAGAAGGACAGTAGGAAATAAATATGTTGATACATATGATGATACCGCAAATAAGATAGTAAGAACATAATTTTTTTCGTACTGGTTATTTTTATTAGTTCATTATAAGTTATGTAAACTTTTTCTTTCTGAATATGATTTGAAGGAACAAATGAAGAACTATAAACCTTCAGAAGATAGAAGTGCTCCATTAGATCCTTTTTTAGCTACAATGGGAAAAGAGTATGATGGACACCGTAGACTTTTCGGAAGAGGTGTTACTAATAGGTTGATGAATAAGGTGAATGGTGATGGCACGTCCTATATGGTCCCACGAGAGCTTATGGACTCACTTAGAGCGAATGCTGAAAAAGATCAATTGCTTGATATGCGAAAAGAGCTAGACGAGGATCATGCAAGAAAAATGGCTGAGTTAGAAGAGGATCATGCGAGAAAAAAAGCTGAGTTAGAAGCTATGCGGAATGATATTGACAAAGTCGTTGAAGATGCGATGCAAAGGCTTATAGAGAAACTACCTGCTGGAGTTGCTCGAGAGTTCTTAACATGAGTTATCATCCATGTTTGGTACAAGGTAAGACTTATATCTTTAGTTGAAGACCATTAATCCAACACCCTTCACTCCACTAAATTCCAAACTAAAGAGGTTGGAATTTAGCTTTTTGTTTATTGAAAATAACTCCAACTTGAAGTTTGGTGGTTGATCTCCATCACTTAATTTGGAAAATATTATTGATTGTATATATATATATATATATATATATATATATATATATATATATATATATATTGATTAATTAAATAAATGGCTAACATTTTTTTTATCTATACCAGGTTACAATGTCTTTGGGCATGTGAAGTGGTAATTGGAGAAGGGCAATATGATCAAATAGAAGAAGAAACGAAATACAAATTGAGTAGTTTAATATATTTCATGGTTTTCACAAACATTTTTTGTATTTACTGTTTATTATATGGTTATCACTTTGAGTTTGGACATATGTATCAAGTTACAATATGACGTTATCTATGAAAGGTTTTTATTTCTAGAATTGAAATTTTTTGTAATACATATTATAACATTTGTATTGAGTGATGCAAAAGCGCTAGGAAATCCACTACTAAGTGTTGCTAAATCTTGGAAAGTGTTGCCATTTGTATTTAACAAACATAATAAAGTGTTGTAGAAAATAGAGAGAAGTGTTGCACATATACAACGTGAAAAAAGGTGTTGCGGTTGATAAAAAAACTGTTGGTATAGGTTCTAGATAGTAATGAAAAAGGGTTGCATATGGTGTAAAAAGTGTTGCATATGATAGGTAAAAGTGTTGTTGTACGATAGTGAAAATATTGAAAAAGCGTTGCATTTTTGGGAAAAAAGTGTTGCACCATAAAAGTGTTGCACTTATAAAATACATGCAACACTTCCGAAAAGTGTGGCATATTCTAAAACAAGTGTTGCTTTTGACCTAAGGCAACAAGACCTAAGGCAGCACTTCTCAAAGTGTTGGATTAGGCATAAGACAACACTTTTAAGACATAATACAACACTTTATGGGTGTTACAATAGCTTCATTTTGTTGTAGTGCTCATCCGAAGGTTGACCGAGAGCTTATCAATTTTTATCTTAGTTATGGGCAACCTCAGTACCTGACATGGAGTGCACAGAAGATTATAACTGTCAAGGTATTGAAACCGACACTTGCTGGAAAGTTTGTGAACGTGAATTTCAAAATCACTTGAGGGTCTGCAAATTCGATGTCGATGATTTCTTTAGCATATCTTCCAAATCTTAATCCTCATGATTGGATTCTGTTGTGAAACATCCTGCTCACCAACTCGGGAGAATATGAGCTGATTCTAGAACATTTGAAGAGGATGTTAGCTTCATATGTTTATGAGGTTGCAGGTATGGATCAGGAGATTGCAAAGGTAATGAAGAAGAAGGTGACTGTTAAGTCAACACCGAAACCAGGAGATGTGAATAAGATGAAGATTGACCAGATTTATTCAAAACATCTTATTGTGATGTTTACTAAAGGCGAAGGGCATAAATTGTTGTTCTCTCTTGTAGATAAACATCTCTTCTCAACGGACTGCTTAGAGCACATTATCAACATAATTCATCAGTGCAAGCAGAACTCCAAAGCAGATAAGAAGAACTTCACCGACATGCTTCAGTGGTATATCACATTTCGTCATCATCTTTTGGCCATTATACCAAAGCTGTTTAAAACGGTCAAGAAGTCTTCTGCTGCTCAACCGAAGTAGACTTTCGATCTCATTGACGCAAAGGGGGAGATCATAGAGTCTATTTGTGTTGCGTCATGCGCTTCTTGTATTGTATCCGGATTGGGCCTATCCATTCCTGATTATCTAAGTAGGGTTATATTATATATATGCATGCATGTATGCATTATATTCTGAAGTCTTTTATTACGCTTAATCTTTGTAACCCTAAACGCCTCTACAGTCGAAGTTCTTAGTCGAGCTCTTCTGAGGCGTTGAAGTATTAATCATACGACTTATTCAAAGCCATATTCGTGATTATATTTACGTTCTTAATTGTTTGCAAGCATAGAATCAAACAATCCTGAAAGAACTAAGTTCTAACAATATTTTTGACAAAAGTGAGTTAAAAATGTTATTTTCATAAAAACTAGCCTTAAATACAAGCTTTGTCTAAAAAGGGGCCCAAAATGTTATTTTTACTAAAATTGGGCCTTAATTTTAAATTTTTGGCTTAATGGGCCAAGAATGCAGTTTTTACAAAAATGTGGGCCTTTTATGTCATTTTAGTAAATGATTGAGCTAATGCTAGCAAAATAATAACAAAAGGGCTAATTTTTGTCATTCTCATGTTATTGGGCCTTAGTGGCCCATTTATATGCTTGATAGGTCATGAATACTATTTATATGTTTATTGGGCCTCATAGACCCTTTAACATGCTCAACGGACCTTGGATACTCTTTGCGTGCTATTTAGGCCTGTAAATACCTTAAATGTGAAATGGTCCTCAGTTGTCCTTTTACATAATTTTGGGCCCATGTTATATAATCTCATTCCTTTCAGGCCTGAAAATGACTTACATGTTTAGCGAGCCTTAGTTGTTCACTTACATGGTTTATTGGGTCTGGAATGTGTTTTATATGATTCTCTTCACGTAAATTCGATTAAGGATCTAGTGAGACATGTCGGTTGAAACTTATTGAGTGTACGATCGTATCCTGTAGTTATAACCAGAGTCTCTTGGAGGGAGAGCGGGGGGTTTTGTGTATAGATCTATACAGGCATGACACCCCACACCTGATCTGTTCGCTACAGTTAGACTACAACAGTCTAGGGTGATAAGAACCTTATTCTATTTTCCATCGGCATCCATAAACGCCAAGAGAGGCGAAATTGTCATTATCTAGCATGGTTATAACGAATCACTTAGAGGAATTAACATTATGAAATTTACGGGAGACCATTCTATTTTCTCTTTGGATTACTCAGGAACATACCCGCCCCGGTACTCAATCTCGGGGGTTGATATACCAACATTCACTTTTACAGGCAACATAGGATTGTCTGGGGGCATTCTCTTTACACTCTCTTCATTTACTTTTGGAATTCTATTTAACAAGAACACACATGCATTAATACAAGATCGGACACAAACATACTATACTATTTTATGAAAATACAGGATTTTCTTGTGATTACAAAGTTATACAAATCATTTTCTCAAATATGCTTATGAACTCAGCAACATTTTATGTTGACCTTTTTAAATTAACTTGTATTCTCAGGAAACCGTTGAAGCAGGTTGGACTGAACAATCTAATGGATGTTTTGATATATTTTGTTTCATAATACATTAATTATTTTGGCATGTAATATTTAAACACAATACTCGATGTAAACAATGTATGTTGTTATATTACGTGTGTGATGATGATGATGTTATGTTTCAATTATATACTATGTGATGATACTACAAAGATGAAGTCACGTACAAGCCCCAGACGTTTCCGCTGTCTTGTTCGGGGATGTGACAGTGAGTGGGCCTCAACATCTGTAATACTTGGGAAATTGTAGGCTAGGTTGGGGCCAAATGTGATGTGCGTACTCGGTTCGGTTTGTAGCCATCATTGGGGTTAAGCAGACTTAGTGATCGTTCGAGCATTGGTTGGTTGAGTTCTCTTTCATTGGGAGTGAATGACTAATGGAGTCGTGTTGGCAGATACACCATGACCACCTGTACCTATTCAGTTTTTGAGTCTAGAGCTGATTTTGTTTTCGATGAGGATTTTTTGGTACCGGTAAGTGGTCGGGGCGTATATGTTATGAGTATCTGTGAATAGAAAAGGACGGATAGATTTGTGTAGTTCGAGTTATGAAGTCAATTCATAGTGGGAACGGTTTGGAAGGGTTCTATCTAGGGATGAGATTTAGAACCGGAATACCGGACCAAAACTGGAATCGGACCGGAACCGGAACCGTTAGAACCAGAATATACAGAACCGGTTTCAGTTCCAGGTTTAAAAATTAGCTTTATCCGGGTTCCGGGTAATCCGGGTTTGGGTCCACTGGGTATAGGTAAATAGGGTCTAAAAACCGGAACTGGTGTTTGGAACCAGAACCACTTTTAGGGCTAGAACCGGTTTTTGTAAAACGTTTAAAAGATGCATATCTCATTCGTTTCAACTCTGATTGACATGTGGTTTTTTCCAACATGTATTTTAGAGTTTGTACATGATTTTAGACTATAAATTTTCCATTTTTAGTTTTATATTCATTGACTTACAGAACCCCAAAGTAGAGATATCAAAGCTGGAAGTTTTTAGTTTTTCAGTTTTTTTGTATTCGGTGAAAGTTTTAAAACATACATATCTAATTCATTTGAAGTTGATTAACATGTGGTTTTTTCCAACTTGTAGTTTACAGTTCTTACATGAGTTTAGACTATAATTTTGTCATTTTTGGTTTAATATTCAATGATTTGTAGTCCTCCAAAGTCGGGATATCAAAACTGAAAATTTTCAACTTTTCAGCTATTTGTTTTTGTACTTTATATTATGTGAAAATGTTAAAACATGCATATCTCATTCGTTTAAAGTAAGATTGACATGTGGTTATTTCCAAAGTGTATTTTAGAGTTCGTACATGATTTTAGACTATAATTTTATTAATTTTGGTTTCATATTTAATTAGTGACAGTGCCCTAAAGTCAGGATATCAATATAAAAATTTTCAAAGTTCAACCCACTAAGTAGGAAGTAATTACCAAAAAATTCCGGTTTTTCCGGTTCTAAACCCACTTTATCCGGTTCCAACCTACCCACTTTGATGTTTTCGAGTTTTCCGATCATGGACTCACTTTACCCGGAACCACACCCGGAACCGAACCAGAACCGGTTCCTATATACCGGTCCGGTTTCCGGTTCTACAAAATCCCATTAACCGATTATGGGTTTTCCGGATCCGGGTCCATCCGGTCCGGGTTTGGACCCACTTTCATCCTTAGTTCTGTCTGTCTGGGATTCAGACATTGATCAAGGTTT